AAAAAAAAAAAGAACGGCTTTCTCATATCCTGGGGCATGGCAAAACTGACCAGTCCTTGTGTTAAGAGGCCTTTACAACTTATTTGCTTGGTTTCATCCAATCATTTGATGGGAGTTATAAGAAAAATGATTAGTAATTAATTTTACTTCACCAGATACCACCTTCTGGTTCTTCTATAACCATTGTCTTTTGCAAACGTGAGAATTAACTCCCTTTCCCCACTTCTCAGTTACATCTTCTACAATTATAGTTTTTAGATTTACAATTCATCTGGTCAGCAATTACTTACACCTGAATCATATGAGCCTATCAGTATCTTCCACAAGGTCTTCCCCAGGCCCATCAGAGGAAACTATCTACTGGGGATCCTCTCTTACCTCACTCTTTTTGACTAAAAATACCCGTGAAAGCTTCGAAGCCAGCCACTTCATGCTTCTGTCACTCTTCATGTTAGATAGCTAATTTCTAAGTTGCCTATCTCTATTAACTTAGCACGTTGAGGAGACAAGCATGCTCTTTGATATGAAGAATTTTCATTTTGGTTGGAACTTTGGCCATCTGCTTTGATAAATGTAGTCCAGTTAAGGGCCGACCATCCATCATGATTTCAGCAATGTACACCAGCTCACAGCACAAACATGTCTCTTTTTGTTTTGTTGGGTGTGGCCAATTCAGCCCTCGCCATCCAGATTAGGTCAAATGGGAATCAGTGACAAGTGTGCGAGTTCACATAGACCTCCCTACACTTCAGATCCTCTAGCCCCTTTACACATACTCATCAGCCCGAGATCCTGGAGGCAGGTTGTGCTCATAGGCTCAGGAGCTACACATCTCCTTAAACAGCAGACCGGTCAGTCCTTCCTCTTCGCGATCATCTCTAGCCTCCACGGACCCGTCAATAGGTACCAGTGGATCATGTCCAAACCCAGCCATTCTTCATAGCTGTATTTCACCCACATTGTACAAAACCTTTTTATTTCCTATGAACATTTTTAGGAGTTGCTCTTTGTCCTCAGTATTATAAGATTTACCACTGCTGTGCCTTGGTGTTAGTCTGTTTCAATCCAATGTGCTGAGTACTCATTAGGTTCTTTCAATTTGGGAGCTTTTGCCTTTCAGTTTAGGGAGAGTTTAATGCTCTGAGTATGTAGTACAACAAAAACATAATAATCAGTTTCCCAAATGAAGGATACAGATATCTTCCTGATAAAACAGCCAGCAATTTTACCTAATGGTTGCATGTAGACTAAGGCACCAAACAATAGAAGCACCGTGTGTTCTTTTCAGGAACACATACCAAAAAATTTGCTGGACCAGAAAACAAGTTTTAATGTATTTTGAAAGATTGAGATGGTTTAAAATATATATGTGATAGCAATGAACTTAAACTAGCAAAAAAAATGTAAGGAAAGCATAGCTAGAAGACATAAAGAAATACATTTAGGAGTTTAAAAAAGTAATCACAATAGAAATGAGAAAATAGCCCCGATTGAAATGATAATAAAAACGTCTCCTACCTGAAGCCCAAACCCCCAAACTCACTGCCATCGAGTTGATTCCCACTCATAGTAACCCTATAGGACAAGGCAAAAGTGTCATTTTGAGTTTCTGGGATTGTAACTTTTTTCCAGAGTGGAAAACCTTGGCTTTCTCCCATAACACCTAGCACAAGTTTTAAAATGCAACTAAAGAAAAATTGGTAGTTAAAATGTATATATTACTAAGAAGATGCAATGAAAAATCAATGATTAATTATACATATAAAATATTAGAAAAGGAATTGGGGGTGCATGGTGGTAAAAGGAAGATGATGTTAAGGAGTCCAGGAAGGAAAAGAATGTTTGGCAACTGATTGTGGTAGCCTTTGTACAATACTGCTTGATGTGATTAAGCTATGGAATGATATAACATATGTATTAACTCCAAGTTAATAATAAATTAAAAAAGAAAAAGAACAGCAGTGCCACACAAAATAAAAGGAAGCTTAATTTAAGCGCAAAGTTATTATCTAGGACATTAAAGACAATCGTTTGCATCAATAAATAAAACCTAGGAAATTGGTAGTAGCACTATTTGTAATAAATGCGCTCGTCTTTCAACCTTATTTTCATTTGCTTTTCACAGCCAGGTAGGTTTAGCCACCCCTCGGTCTAATGCTGTGCAGATTGTTGGCATGAGTGCTACTCTTCCGAACTTGGGACTCGTGGCTTCCTGGTTGAATGCTGAACTCTATCACACTGACTTTCGCCCTGTGCCACTTACGGAATCAGTGAAAATTGGAAATTCCATATATGACTCTTCAATGAAGCTTGTGAGAGAATTCCAACCCACGATACAAGTGAAGGTAAATCAACATTTTCCTACCACCACCACAAATATCTTGTCTGAATGCATGTACTAGCAAAGTGTTGATTTTTTAAAATTTGTGAAGTAGAACTGAAAAGTTGTACATTAGAAAGATTATTAATATTAAGGCATAATGATATTGGTTTTTGTTGCAAACCTATAGTGGTAGGAGAGGAAATGTAGTCATATCCCTTTCAATTTTGATTATTTCCTGACTAATTTAGTAAAGCAATAATAATGAAAATGTTATATATGTTGCTGTTGTTAGATGCTGTTGAATTGGCCCCAGTTCATCGCCACCCCGTGTATAGCAGAGTGAACCCCTGCCCCGTCCGGGGTTATTCTCACAATAGTTGCCCTATTTGAGCCCACTGTAGCCATAGTGTTAGTTTATCTCATTGAGGGCCTTCCTCTGCCCCTTTGAACCTCTACTGTATTGATATATAGTAGAGTGGGAAGAATATAATGTTCAGAAGTCATATAGACCTATCTGTGGTACTTAATTAAGATAATATGGTTGTAATATTAGTTGAAACACAAAAACTTTTCTCAATTTAGTACCTTCAATTACTAAATAGGATATAATACTTCCAGGATTGTTTCATGCATGTAATATGTTTAAAAAGTCACCTAGCCCCCAAGGATGATGTTTCTGCTTGGAGCAGCCAATGTACAGAGAAGACCGTAGGGCTGGCCCCACCATGAGGTACGGCATCCCCTCACTGACCCATAGTGCTGCAGGGGACAGCACTGGAGACAGTGCAGGACTTGTGCCTCTTCTGACCTCCCCCACACCAGGGCAAAACACCAAGGGGGTGCAACAGAGCAGCAAAGGGAGCAAAGCAATGAAGTCCTGGAGGAATCCCCAAAATAGACTTCAGGGGCAGGGCTTGGCATCTCATCAGACTCGATTGGAAAACATTCATAAACCTCAACAGACAGACAGGAAACTTTTATAGGCTATTTTCCCCCATGCCTATCTATAAAGATAGGCAGGATAAACAATCCAAGGAGAAAACAATGGGACCTATGGTTCCAGGGGGACGTGGGGGAATGGAAGCGGGAGCCAACAAACCCGGGGACAAGAGAAAACAAGTGATCCAAAATCGATGCCGAGGAGGGTATAGAATGCTGGGTGGGGGTTGATCAAGTGCAATGTAGCCGAGAGGAATTACTGAGAGCCAAAGGAAGGTTGGATATGTTAGTGGGACCAGGAGGACAGTAAAAGGAAATAGAGGAATTAACTAGGAGGCAAAGGCTATTTATAGACATATAAATACAGGCACATACATATGTAAATATATTTATATATAACGATAGGGATATAGGTCTATGTACATATATTTATATGTTAAGTATTAAGGTAACAGATGGACCTTGGGCCTCTACTCAAGTACTTCCTCAATGCAAGAACACTTTGTTCTAATAACCTGGCATTCCATGATGCTCACCTTCCCAACACGATTGCTGAAGACAAAGTGGGTGCATAAGCAAATGTGAAGAAAGCTGATGGTGCCCAGTTATTAAAAGACATAGTGTCTGGGGTCTTAAAGGCTTGAAGATAAACAAACGGCCATCTAGCAGGGAAGCAACAAAATCCGTTTGGAAGAGGACTTCGTTGTGATCACCAGGTGTTGATAGAATCAGGTAGTGGACATCAGAAGACCCAATGCAAACAATCATATCAATGTGAATGAGGAGGGTCACCGTGGAGACCCAAAGCCCATGTGTAGACAATTGGATACCCCCTCACGGAAGGGTCACAAGGAAGGGACTAGCCAGCCAGGGTGCAGTATAGCACCGACAAAACATATAACATTCCTCTAGTTCTTTAATGCTTGCTCCACCCCCTACCCCCAACTATCATGACCCCAGTTCGACCTCACAAAGCTGGCTAGGCAAGAACATGCACACTGGTACAGATAAGAGCTTTCGACACATGAAATCCAGGACTTATAACCCCCTCAGGAACAATAATGGGAGTAGCGATACCTTGAGGGTATGGGGAAGGTGGGGGAAGAAGGGGGAACTGATCACAATGATTGGCTTATTAAAACCCCATCCCCCCAGGGTGACGAACAGCAAAAAACGTGAGTGAAGGGAGACAGTGAATGGTATAAGATATGAGAATAACAATAATTTATAATTTATCAAAGGGTCATGAGGGTGGGAGGGAGAGGAAAAAAAGTGAGGAGCTGATACCATGGGCTCAAGTAGAAAGAAAATGTTTTGAAAAGGATGATGGCAACATATATACAAATATGCTTGATAAAATGGATGTGTGGATTGTTATAGGAGCTGTAAGAGCCCCCAATAAAATGATTTATTAAAATTTTAAAAAGAAAAAAACTTGCCTAGCATCCAGAGGTATTTCATAAATGATAGTTCCTTCCCTCACTTGTAAATGAACTTGAGAAGCTCTAGTTGAAAGTGTTTTATTTTTCTAAACCTGATTCTTTATCACCGAAATTAAAGAAATGGTTGATGTAGAATGAAGCATCTCCTATTTTTATGTAGATTTTTGTTTAATACAGGTATGTATCACCTAATATCCAGTATACATTCTGTGAAACTGGACACTGATTTGGGTACTGTGTGAGCACCATATTAAAACCTTATGAACCAGTTCCAGTTGTCTTCAACACCCCTGCTGCCACAGTTGCTGCTGGAGCTGCTGGTAGAGGCTGGAGAGTGGTTGCAGAAGCAGCAGTAGCTGAAAGGGTGGTAGGAGGAGCAGAGGGAAAAGGAGGGAGCAGAGTGCCTACCTCTGCTCTCTGATCCTCCACCAGACAAAGCCAGAGAGCCTGCACCCGGAGTCAGTGGCCAGTCCTAAGCCTCACCTGCCTGTATCTTCCCTGTGGTTCATTGCTGCAAGAGCTTGCATTTGGGTCTTCAAAACCATTAGAAGGAAATGCTAGACAAAAAGTGAAGGTGTTTCAATCTTCGGAGAAAGCAAACACAAAAACCTTATAGGATCACAGATGTATATGTATGTAGTTCAACTTGCTTCAGAACATCTAAGGGTCAGCTTGGGATCTGGAATAGGACTAACTTCTCAGTATGTTTTCTGTCCTACAGGCATGGATTGGTAGACTGCATACTTAGAATGGAATCATCTTAGGGAGTTGCTTTCAGATGATTTTGGAATTTTGCTGTCTCTGATGACTGGGAAGACAATTAATTTAGATAAATTTATTTATTTAATTTTTAATGATTCTATAGAATTTTGCTGCTGGTCTATGATTTATACTTATTTAAAAATTTTAAGAGGTTGCCTTAGGATTTAGAACATGTTTCAGTAGATAGTCTACTTTCAAATAATATACCAATTCACATGTAGTATAAGAATCTTAAAACAGTACACTTCCAATTCCTTTTTTATCTTTTTGGATACAGTCATATATTTGACTTTTACATTTGCTATGAGTACCTAATACATCGATAATTGTTTTTCTATCTGTGGATAATTATTTGTCTTTTGGAGGAAGGGCTTAATTTTTCTGTAAAGGGCCAGCTAGTGAGTAGTTTGAGCTTTGTGCAGTCTCTGTCACAATTAATCAACTTTGTGGTTGTAGTGTGAAAGTACACACAAATGAATGAGTATGTGATTGTGTTCTAACAAAACTTTATGGACTCTGAAATTTGAAGTTTACATGATTTTCATGTGCCACAAAGTGTTATTATTCTTTTGATCCCAGTCATTTAAAAATGTAAAAACTGTTGTGAGCCCAAGCTATATGGCAAAAGGTGAAGAACTAGATTTGGCTTACCAGACCATAGCTTACCAATCTCTGGTCTGAAACTACCAAAAATATGGGGCGGGGCGTGGAGAGGAGACATTTCTGTTTACTTTCATTTATGTCATTTCCTCTGGCTTCATGTCTTGGAGGGCCAGGTTTCTGTGGGAGGTAATATTCTTTCTGGCTGAAGAATTTTAGGTAGTGTAGACCCAGTAATGATCACTCTAGTTGTGTTTGTCTGAAAAGTGTTTCTTTGCCCACTTGTAAGAGGGCATGGTTAATGTTTGCTGTGCATAGAGTTCTGATTTCACAGATTGCTGCTCTTCTTTCCTCTTTCCCCACTTAAAAGGTGCCACCCCGTTGTCTTTCAGCTTGTGTAGTCGCTGCTGCGAAGTCTGCTTAACCTTGCCTCTTGTTGCTCTAGATGGAGCATCTTCTCTCACTGCCTGCAAGATATTGTCTTTAGCTTTGGTTTTCAGCCGTTTGAGTATGATATGTGTGTGAGAGGGAGTGGAATTGTTGGTCGAAAGCATCCTGCCTGATGTTTTCTGAGCTTCTGGGACCTCTACTTGGTCTCTTTCATTATATCTGATAAATTCTTGGCTGTTTTTTCCTTAGAGATTTCCTCTGCACTGTTCTGTCTTTCTTCTCGCTGGAATTCCAGGAGTCTGATAGTGTCCCACAGCTCTTGAAGGAGGCTCTGTTGTTTGTCTCTCTCGTTTGCTTTGGGTACTGTTTTTCCTTCACTCTGTTTTCTTTTGTGTAATTTCTAGTGATGTTCCTTCAAGCGCATAGAGGCTTGGCTGTGTTGACGCTACTGATAAGGCATTTGGCATTTTTATTTAATTTGTATGTTTTCTGTTTTCCTACTTGACGGTGTTTTTTCCTTGCTTTGTGTGTCTTGTGATTTTTTTATAGACAGTAAACTGAGTTGCATAATAAGTACCTATATTTGCACCTGGAAATGTTTTCTCTTCATCCCTTCCCTTTTAGTCACCCCGCCCCCTTTTTTTTTGTTGTTGCCGTTGTTAAAAAAAAAAATTCACTAACTAGCAGGCATCCTCAAACTATGGCCTGTAGGCCACCCGGGGCCTGCCGAGGACATTTACCGCACCTGCCGGGTGTTTTTGCCACATTTTGTTTTTTACTTCAAAATAAGATATGTGCAGTGTGCATAGGAATTTGTTCATAGTTTTTTTTTTAAACTATAGTCCGGCCCTCCAATGGGTCTGAGGGACAGTGAACTGGCCCCCTGTTT